CAGGAGCAGCTCCAACCAACCAATCAGAGCAGGAGCGGCTCCAACCAGCCAATCAGAGCTGAGGGACCAAGTTCACAAGTGGATGGAGGAAACTGATCCAGGACGAGTTCATCCAACTGAGGACAAACTGATCCCAGATCTGTTCACAGCTGATTATTGACCCAATACAAAGTGTCGTCTGTACAACACGTTTCAAAAACAAACAATAAACATATGACATCATAGAATAACGTCACATGATGACGTCAGTTTGTCCATCAGAGCATTAACAGGTCCCACATTTTAGCATCAATAAATTATATTTAAAGAGAAATATTAAAATCAATTAAAAAAGAGATACTGTGGCTGCTGGGACCATGAAACAAACTGAAACAAACTCCATGAAAAAGAAACAAAGTTAAAACTAAAAACTGAATTTTATCAGTTTACAAACTGATGATGAAATATTTTAGAAATGTGTTAAATCTGCAGATTAATTTTTGTCTCATTTTGATCATTTTATAATAAATGATGAATGCTTCAGTTCAAACTGAACAATAAAGTGAGCCAGAATAATATATTTTAAATATTTTAATTTATAAACATCTTTTAAAAGCAGGTCTTAAATACTTCAGGGCACTTAAATTTTCACAAATTTAATTTATTAAGAGGTGCAAAACTAAATATGGCATTAAAAAATAAATGGACAATAAAGTAAATAAGATCTGCAATTTTTAATATAAAATCTTTTAAACACACGAGAGCTATAGATTCACTTCCTTTCAGAATAATAATTAATTTCTACATTTAATGTTAGTTATAGTGGCGTTAAACACGATGTGATTCTGATCACTTTCTATTCTCTTAAAGTTCTTTCTGCTGGACGTTTGTTTGTTTAGGGAGAAAACGGCTTCAAATGTAGGATATAAGTATAAAAATAAAATATTTGAAACACCTCCATGTTGATCGAGCAGCTCACTCCTGATGCAGCATCGAGCTGAGCGTCGCTGAGACCTGCGGCCCGTCAGACTTCCTAGAGTCTGCAGGACTCTGGAGGATCTGCAGGACTCTGGAGGATCTGCAGGACTCTGGAGGATCTGGAGAATCAGCCTGCAGAGTTGTTGGGAACCTGAGCTATGTGGATCCACATCTGATCTGAGAGCAACACTAACATTTTACAACTAAAATAAAAAATAAAGCTTAAATGAGTTCAGCTGGCATTCAAAAGCCACGTAGGTTTTGTTGGTTTATTTTTCACATCAAAAGATAAAACTCATCGTAAGTCTTAAAAACCTCGTTTAACTCATGGATTTTTTTCTTCTGAAAGTTTGATTATTTATTTATTAACTTTTATTTAACCAGTCAAACTCCACACAGAAAGACCCCAGGTCCAACCAAGGATTGAACCCAGGACCTTCTTGCTGTGAGGCAACAGTGCTAACCACTGATCCATCGTGCTGCCATTAAAATGCTGATTAAAATGGGAAACAGGTTTGGGTGTGAATGCACCTATCATGGTGAATAATAGTTGTCAACATGATGTAAAATATTTGTGTAAAATATTTCTTAGACAAATATTTTAATAAAACGGGGCCTTTGGCTCAGTAACCCGGTGAAACGAGTCCATGACAACATTTGTGCCATCTTTACCTCAAATGGATTCTAACAAATGGAAAAGTAACTTTCCTAAAATATATTTGTTGTAATTTTATATCCAGCTTATTTTAAAAAATAAGAACTAACTTTGGTGGCGTGTCAGGATAAGGGGCTGTTGTAAGTCACAGGTGGGTCATTCGGACCAGAGGCCAAACTTATGGAAGATTTGACTTTTCAATAAATACACAATTTATACTCCTGAATCTGAAACATTGTTGTGAAACACTTTCCACAGGCCGGGATTAAAACTCTGACGTACGGGAAAGTGTTTGTCGTCACCGTTAACCGTGGCTGTATAAAAACAAAACCACGTGTTGCCTCCGGCTGCTCGTCAACCGGCCATTTTGTTAAAACGTCAGAAACCGACAGTCTGCAGGCTGATTTTCACAGGGAAGTTAATTTAGGAGTTCCAGTGTTGTTCTCAGCGACGCTGCAGGCACGCACACATCGTTGTTGCACCATGTTGTGTGTGTCACGGCAGCTACATTCTGCAGAGGGACAACCTTCGAACTCTCCGATTGTTCCGAGGAGTTCGCAGGTTTCCACGGGACATCGGCTCGCTGCTGAGGAGGTGCACACAGACATCATCAGCAGGAGGGGTGGGCAGTGACTACAGCTCCCAGCATGTACTGGGACAATAAGAGACAGTGGGTGGAGCCTCAGGAGTCTGTTATTAAATAAAGTGCAAGGCAAACAAACTGAAAATATGCAGAGTGGAACTGCATGTACTAAAATAAAATATAAAAAAACTGGGATTTAGGTTTAAAAAAAACTTCTGAGTATTGACTAATTTGTAATAAAAAAATTAAAAAACCTTTAAAGTTGTAAAAGAAATACATCTATACCCTGTATTAATAGGGATTAAAATGTATTTATTTATTTATTTAGTATTAGTGTAGATATTTAATTTAAATAGCACTAAAATCCTTAAGAGGCAGGTTAACTGACTGTCAGGGTTAAAGAATAACTTCCTGTTTCAGAGGCTCCACCCACCTGTCACACTGAGTGATCAGGCCTTTGATTGATCGATTAATGGTTGATTTGACTGACAGGTCACACAACACGTCACTGATTGTCTAATTACCAAACATGTGATTGACAGGAGCTTGTTGGTCCGTTACCTGTCAGACACAGACCTGTTGATTCAGTAAGTGAGTGACAGGTCAGTGGCTGACAGGTAAATGATTGACAGCTTCACTCAAATTCACATGTAGAAGTTTTGTCGAAGTTAGAAGTTTTTTTGTTTTATTTTGAGCTCATGTTGAATAAGAAGGCGTTGATTTCTTAAAACCAGCTTCAACCATCAAAAACCACCACAAGGTCTAAACCCAGTCTGTAAGAATGTGTGATCAATCGTATCGATCAGTGTGAAAAACAAGAAACAGAACAAACTGTACAAATCCACGGACCAAAATAAAAGTTGTTGTCCTTGGTTCTTTCAAAATAAGACCCTCTGGGTGCAGGAAATTGACGGCTACAAGTAGAGCAAGGCAGTGTGTGTGTGTGTGTGTGTGTGTGTGTGTTGGCTGATGTTTTATGTGACAGATGGGGTGGGTTTGTGTGTAAAATAAGTGCTTGTTCTCGTCTTGCATCATTAGGAGGACCGAGTTCTGAGCCCTCGTTGTGGGGACGTGTGTTGTGAGGACATTTTGATCAGTCAATTATTACGGCTGGTGAAAGAAGTTCTAATAAGTATAAAGGTTAAACCTCTGTGTGTGTGTGTGTGTGTGTGAAGTGAGGTTTCATGGATGAATCCCATTTCTTCCCTTCCCCCACCCTCAGTCACTGCATTTTGCACTCTCGTGTCAAAGGCTTGGATTGATGCTGTTCTTCGATCACGCAGGGGAGAATGAAGAGGGACAGAGTTTTTGTGGCATCAGCACATACACCAACAAATGTTCTTATTTTCACGAGTTAGAAATATTTTATTGCAACTATTGTTAAAATGTTTGGTTTGATTAGTTCTGAAAAATCATGTTGGTCTGCCAGTAGCTAATTCTTATCAAGAAAAATAAAACAACCCCCCCAAATAAAAACCAATATACATCTGAATAAAAATATATTTTCACAGTACTGTAATGGTAATTTGGTGATGTAATGTTTTTAGTGTTTATACCGGTCATGCCCTAAAAAACATTAAGAA